AGTGAAATTTATTTTTTAATTTAATTTATATGCCGCCCACACTACCCAAATTGACACAAGTACGGGAAGCAGTGGAAGACAGGAGGGCCTGGCGTGCTCTGGTCCATGGGGTCACGAAGAGTCAGACACAACGAATGAATAGACATTAAATGGCTGTGTGTTGCGTTATTTTGAGGGGACAGCATATTTACACTGTTATACAAGCTGTATATTCACTGCTTTACATTGTAGCCAAGTGTAATTTATTCAGTGTTGTCACATGAAATACTAAACTAAAATATTTATGAAATGTGAGGGTGTGTACTCACTTTGTGATATACTGTATAGAAGGCAAAACAATGGCCCACAGATCAGATGTGTTCCATACACATTCCAGTTCCAAAGAAAGAATATTCCAAAGATTGCAATAACCTAGGATAGTGGCTCCCACTCTTGGATTCTCAGATGTTCTTGGACTAAAACTTGCAGAAACCTTCACGGTTTACAGTGCTAGCCAGGATTTCTGGGAGCTGTCATCCAAGAATATCTGTGGACCTGATTCATGGCTAACCTATGAAAGAGTGATCCCCAAAATGTCCTCAGCTGCCCTGCTCTGCTGTTGTAAACTAATGCCAGTGGTTTCCTTCATAAAGTCAAACCATTTCATATTTGATCTTTCTCTTCTCTTGCTGTCTTCCACATTTCTTAGCATTATTTTATTTTCTAGACTGCCTTCTTCTGATGTGCCCAAAGCACGACAGCATCAGCTTCAACATTTTTGCCTCCACAGATAGTTCAGGCTAGATTACATCTAGGACCCACTTTTTTGTTTTTCTGGCAGTCCAAGATATTTGCAGAGCTCTCGTCCAGCACCACATATCAAATTAATCAATTTTGTTCTTGTCAGCTTTCTTTACTGTCCAGCTTTCAACCATATATGTTGATTAGAAACACAACCTGTCCAGCTTTCAACCATATATGTTGATTGGAAACACAAGAGTGTGGGTGGTCTTGATCTCCAGTGGCACAACCTTACACTTGATGATCTTTTCTAGTCCCTTAATTGCTGCCCTTCCAAGTCTCAGCCCTATTGTGATTAGAAAAGATAAGTGAATGTGTTTTAAGTTGGGATAGTAACACAGGCTTGCAATAATTAAGGACTAGGCCATTCCATATTCATTTATTTGTTACCTTTTTGCAAGGTTTTCAAAGAGATTTACAATAAATTAAAATAATTAAAATTAAACTAAACATAAGAAACTGCCTGTGTGTTTTGATGTTAAGCTAAGGCCTTGTCCTTTGTTGTCCATCTTTGTAAGTGGAGTAGATGGTGAAAAGGAACTGGATCATTTTGTGGTGAAACTTTGTGTCTTTTATGTGATATTTAAAAATAGATTTATTTGCCGAAAATAATAGTGACATATATTTTTGTGGGTTTTACCAGATGTGTATTTGTTTCCTGGAAGGACAGATCCTGAAGCTGAGGCTCTAATACTTTGGCCATCTCATGAGAAGAGAAGACTTCCTGGAAAAGACCCTGATGTTGGGAAAGAGTGAAGGCAAGAGGAGAAGAGGACAACAGAGGACAAGATGGATGGACAGTGTCCTCGAAGCTACCAACATGAATTTGACCTAACTCCGGGAGGCAGTGGAAGACAGGAGGGCCTGGCATGCTCTAGTCCATGGGATCATGAAGAGTCAGACATGACATAATGACTAAACAACAAAAATTGTTTCCTATTTCTCTTCTGCTTTTGTTTTATTTTAATGCATTATTCTTCTCACCACAAATATACTGAAGGCAGAAATTGGAAAGTCAGAATGTAAATGCCTCAAATAAACCTGTTAACATTTTAAAGAGAACTATATCAGAGAAGTGTCTCTGAACACTGGTAAGTGGCATGCCAAATATTGTTTATGTCAGGAACATTTTTGCAAGATTAGCTATTTTGGTTAACAGCCTTTCAAAAGCATCAGCAAGTGATGAAGAAGACAGATACTGTATTTTTTGCTCCATAAGATGCACTTTCCCCCCAAAAAATGTGTGGGGGGAAGTCTGTGCGTCTTATGGAGCAAAGGTGGTGATTTCGCCCCCGCTGGCCCTGTGGGGCGGAGCGTTGCAAGGTTCCGAGTGAGACTTCCAGGTCCCTTGCGAAGCTCCCCCTCACCCCCCACGGGCCAGCGCAGGTGAAATCGCCAGCTTCCCGGTGGGGGGAGCGTCGCAAGGGTCCTGGAAGGCTCACTCGGACCCATGTGACGCTCCCTCCACCCTCCCACAGGGCCAGCACCAGCAAAATTGCCAGCTTCCAGGGCATTTTCGTCCCCACTGGCCCCGTGGGGGGGTGGGGGGAGCAATCGCCACCTTCCTGGACTCTTTTGGGACTTGTAAAGCTTCAGAAGAGTCCCTGAAGGTGGCAATTTCGCCCCGTCTGGCCCCTGGGGGGGGGCAGGGTGAGCCTCCAAAGGGTCCTAGGGTGTGTTCCATAGGGTGGATCTCTCCATAAGACTCACCAAATTTTTAGGAGAATGAAACAGATTTTTATTTTCCTGTGTTCTTCTAAAAATTTGGTGTGTCTTATGGAGAGGTGTATCTTATGAAGCAAAAAATACGGTATACTCAAACTCAGAAAGCATTCATTTGTGCTGCTTCTTCACATGTCACACATCTAGAAGCCAATGTGGAAAACTGCTTTTGGAGTTCAGCTATGACTCAGGGTGAGCTCGTTGATTGACCTGTGGTATTTGAGAGGATGTTCATGTGATATTTGTCTACAGCAGTGATTCTCAAACTTGGGTCTCCAGATGTTCTTGGACTGCAACTCCCAGAAATTCTGGCCAGCACAGGTGGCAGTGAAGGCTTCTGGGAACTGCAGTCCAAGAACAACTGGAGACCCCAGTTGGAGAACCACTAGTTTACGGTACTGGCTTGCCAGTTAGGGCAAAATGAGCAGTGACCCCAGCCAGTGTGCTCCTACTTGCCGCCTTAGCAGAGTAGGGGGTCACGGCTCTTTTTCTATCCCTTTCACTCTATGTATGCGTGAATGCTTGCTCAAGCGTGTATATGTCTTTGTTTTTTGAATACCCATTTTTGTCCCTGACTCCTGTCTTCTACCCTGTCTCTACCCATCTGTGCTACACCTCCCACCAATAAGAGCCACCAGTAGCCTTTACCTGTCTATCCTGTAACAATTGTGTTCAGTGTACGCAACAGCGTTTGGGGAGTTTTTAGAGAAAATCTCTCAAGTGAATTGAGCACACGCCTTGTGTCTATCTTAAGCAACTTCAGCTTGCCCTGTTCTGTAAGGTTTTCCCCTATTTTTGTGAGTTTTAACCCACCAGCTTCGCCCTCAGACTAACACTCTCCGAGCCCTCAGCAGGTGCCTCGCTGACCCAGACACACATCACACCCCCTCCCCTCTCATCCGCCTGGGAAGAAGTCGCCCACTAGGCCCTACCTCTTTGGGTCTTTTACATAAAGGCTCCTGCTAGCCAATCAGCTACATTGCTAACATGCACTGGATTATGGAGAAAGCCAGAGAGTTCCAGAAAAACATCTACTTCTGCTTCATTGACTATGCAAAAGCCTTTGACTGTGTGGACCACAGCAAACTATGGCAAGTCCTTAAGGAAATGGGAGTGCCTGACCACCTTATCTATCTCTTGAGAAATCTATTTGTGGGATAGGAAGCAACAGTCAGAACCGAATATGGAACAAGTGATTGGTTCAAAATTTGGAAAGGAGCACATCAAGGCTGTATATTGTCTCCCTGCTTATCTAACTTTTATGCAGAATACATCATGAAAAAGGCAGGACTGGATGAATCCCAAGCCAGAATTAAAATTGCCGGAAGAAATATCAATAACCTGAGATATGCAGATGATACCACTGTGATGGCAGAAAGTAAGGAGGAATTAAAGAACCTCTTAATGAGGGTTAAAGAGGAGAGCGCAAAAAATGGTCTGAAGCTCAACATCAAAAAAACTAAGATCATGTCCACTGGTCCCATCACCTCCTGGGAAATAGAAGCGGAAGATATGGAGGCAGTGACAGATTTTAATTTCTTGAGCTCCAGGATCACTGCAGATAGTGACAGCAGCCATGGAATTAAAAGACGCCTGCTTCTTGGGAGGAAAGTGATGATAAACCTAGACAGCATCTTAAAAAGCAGAGACATCACCTTGCCGACAAAGGTTCGCATAGTCAAAGCTATGGTTTTTCCTGTAGTGATGTATGGAAGCGAGAGCTGGACCATAAAGAAGGCTGATTGCCGAAGAATTGATGCCATTGAATTGTGGTGCTGGAGGAAGCTCTTGAGAGTCCCCTGGACTGCACGAGGAACAAACCTATCCATTCTGAAGGAAATCAACCCTGAGTGCTCATTGGAAGGATAGATCCTGAAGCTGAGGCTCCAGTACTTTGGCCATCTCATGAGACGACTCCTTGGTAAAGACCTTGATGTTAGGAAAGTGTGAAGGCAAGAGGAGAAGAGGATGACAGAGGACGAGATGGCTGGACAGTGTCTGCGAAGCAACCAACGTGAAATTGACACAACTCCGGGAGGCAGTGGAAGACAGGAGGGCCTGGCAGTGCTCTGACCCATGGGATCACGAGGAGTCGGACACGACTAAACAACAAAGCCAATCAGCTCGGTTGCTGTTCCTCCGCGTGCCTCTTGCCCGGGGTTGCTGTGGCGACGGACAAAACCAGAGGCTGGTTCGCCACAGCTCCGCCTGGGAGGGCGGGGGAACCGCATTAATTCCCCGCCATGCCACGCCAGGTGCTGCAGCGGCTCGAGTCAGAACCGGCGTGTGTGCGCGCGACAACGGTGCGGACGTCGCGGAACAGCCCGGCCTTTTAGAGCTCCAGGTAAAGGAGTGTCGCACAAAAGCGAGGCAAGATGAGAAAGGGCGAACGGGAGGGGGGGCGGCGGCGGCGGTCTCGCTTGTTAAAATGGAAACGTGAGGGGGAATAATAGACGTCGTGGCTTGCTAGATTGTGGCGTGGATTGGGTCCCCCCTCTTTCTGCGAGGTTGTTGTCCGTATTGTGTGTGCCGTAGCTGCGGTAGCAATCGCTGCCTTGTGTCCTTTGTGTGCGCCGCAAGCAATCAATAAAGCGCATCCCAGCTCTTGCGGCGCCCCCCCCTTCTTTTGCACAAGCTGGCGACATAAAGGAACGTTTTCTGAGGGGGGGGGAAGCATAAAGTTGAGTCGGAGTTTCTTCCGGAGGGAGAGCAAGGAAGCTCGACTCGGGAGAGGAAATCCTCCCCGCTCGAGAGAAGAGGCAGAGGATGATGGACTGAAAGTTCCCCTTTGGGGATTGAAGGTTGTGGGGGAGTTTGCATTATTTTGTAGTAGATGCTGACGGTGAGTGTTTGTTTTTTGTTTTTTTGTTTTTTGCAGAAAATGCGCGGTCCGTATTAAAAGATAAAACCGCTTAAAAGAGTAAACCGAAGACCGATGGGAATGAGAGTTCTGGTTAGCTGTGGTGGTTTATTGGGACTGCAGTACGTGTTGCAGGGAAGGTGGAGAAGAGACACGGGAGTTTAAAATAAGAGAGCCATATGTAAAAGTAAGGATCCCTTGAAAACCATAGCGAAGCCTTCTAGTTGTCAGTTGGGAATTCTGAATTCCTCTCTAAAAATCCTCTGCTCAAACTGAGCGTTT